CCTCGGAATTCGATTCTGGACATACGCCCAGGTCCCATATATTCCCACTATCACGACCCGGATTTCCCACCCTCGGGAGTCGTGATGGCGCCTACTAATAAGAGCTAGGCAAGCCAAATCTAATTACTTTTTCATTAATAACTTTATCTCTTTTAACATTTATCAGCAATAATACAAAAGCAGCGAGATGAAATAATAAGCGGAAGTCTTAATATTAAAGAAACTGAATAGAAAGTGCGGAACCCAAGACTGGTGTCACAATACTCACGAACTGCTAACAATACTAAATACAAACGCCTGAAAGAGAACATAAACTGTTTGTCTCGAATACAATGAGATAACAGACAAAATAAAGGATAAGGGAGACGTCGGGCCTGCGGACGCCTGCAAGGCTACATCGGCTCTCTGGACTGAAGGCCTGCTCCCACTCTACTGCTGCTGCTGTCCGAAACCTAGATCTGTGCACAATAGCACAGAGTGTAGTATCAGCACAACCGACCCCATGTGCTGGTAAGTGTCTAGCCTAACCCCGGCGAAGTGGTGACGAGACTAGACTGGACTACCACATAAACCTGTGCAGTTATATATATATATATATATACATACATCGAAAAATAAACTAGAGCAAACAATGAAAGCTGGGAAGGGGAAACATGCTTCGGAGGAAGAACAGATAAAACAAAATCCCAAGAGAATTATCAAGAAANATATATATATATATATATATATATATATATATATACACACACACACACACACACAGCGGAATTGAAATACAAGGCAAGTAAACAGTATGGGAGAGGAAGCATGTTGTGGGGAGATAACAGTTTCAAGTAAAAGTTGCCTAGTAACGAAGGAAAAGCACAACTCATACAATAATAAGGAACAGAGATCAACAAGTGCACGGCATCACCCTTCGTGCTTTTACTCTCATCCTCACCAAGCAATAGTATAACAAAACGTGCACGGCATCACCCTTCGTGCTTTTACTCTCATTCCTCACATATAATCAATAGTATCGGCACGGAATGGCACATCATGCTGCACGACATCACCCTTCGTGCTTTACTCTCTTTTCCTCACAACAAGCAAACAGTGAACGACATCACCCTTAGTGCTTTACACTCTTTCCTCACAAGAAACAGACAATGCACAGCATCACCCTTCGTGCTTTAACACTCTTCCTTACCCAATCAACAATCACAAACAAGGGCAAGGGAATAAATAAACAATAATGGAAATCCCGGCAAGGGAACACAAACAAGCAATTAAAAATCCGGCAAGGGTACAACATCAATAATCTCAACATCCCGGCAAGGGAAAATATTCAATAATCAACAACGCCCCGGCAAGGGAATAGATCATTAACTCTTTCTCTTTCTTTCACTTTTATCTCATAGTTCACATTATCACATGAGCCAATGCTCCAAAGATTTACTTATCTCATATACCTTCACAATTTGTATTTCAACTCGAGCCAACGCTCCACGAAGTTTAAAGATCACAATTCCTTTCACAAGCTCTTTACAGCATGTAGAAGTCATCAATTAAGCATGGAAGGTATAACAAAATCCAAACTATTCGCAAAATAAGGACTCACGGTCATGATAGACACCAATGTATAGATACTCGTCACCATGCCTATATATCGTACTCGACAATTAGCAAGTAGCAAACAACACTCAACTCCTATTCCCTCAAGCTAGGGTTAAACCAAACACTTACCTCGATGCCTTGAATTCCACTCAAACCTCAACTATAGCTTTACCCCGTGATTTTACCTTCAATCCGCTTGAATCTTGCCACAAATTACTTTATTACTTTAATAAACACCAAATGAATCAATTTGAATGCATAAAAATGAATTTCCCAAAGTTTTTCCCAAAAAATTCCAAAATCGCCCCCGGGCCCACGTGGTCAAAACCCGAGGTCCGAACCAAAACCCGGTTACCCATTCCCCCACGAACTCAAATATATAATTTGTTTTGAAATCGGACCTCAAATTAAGGTCCAAATCCCCAATTTTTAGAAAACCTAGGTTCTACCCAAAACCCCCAATTTCACACATGAAAATCCTTGATTTTAAGTGAAAACATGTTAAATGATGTTAATGATTGAAAGAATTGAGTAAAAATCGACTTGCAAATGATTTGGAATGAAACTTGTTCTTGAAAAATCGCCTAAGGAGTTTGGGTTTTGAAAGAATGGTGAAAAATGGTGAAAATTCGACCAAGTATAAAATTTGCTAGGCCTTAGATATGGGAATTGCAAACTGGGGTTCGCAATTGCGAACCCCGACCATTTGTGGGAAATGCGAAGCTGGGTTCGCATTTGCGAACCTTTCCCATTTTGCCAGACCTCGCATTTGCGATGAAAAGGTCGCATTTGCGACCCATTGAGTTTCGCATTTGCGAGAAACAAGATCCCATTTGCGATCAGTAGGCCAAGTCCCAGGCTTCGCAATTGCGATACAAAGCTCGCATTTGCGAGCTCGCAATTGCGAAACACATCTTCGCAAATGCGAAGATCACAGAAGAAGCATACCAGATTTTTATTAAGTTCAAAAATGCAATCCGACACCTATCCAAAACTCACCCGAGCCCTCGGGGCTCCAAACCAAATATGCACACAACCTCAAAAACATCCTACGGACCTATCCGTGCGATCAAGTCGCCAAAATAACATCATATACATTGAATTAAGCCTCAAAATTCATGATTTCTTCCAAATTTTCATAAAATATCAATTTTCCATTTTTAAGTCCGAAACACGTCAAACGACGTCCGTTTTCAACCAAACTTTACAGAAAGTGCTTAAACCATATATAAGACCTGTACCGGGCGTCGGAACCAAAATACGGACCCGATACCATCACTTTCTAATCAGATTTCATTTCTAATTTCCTTATTTATTTGCAGAAAACAATTTCACACAAAAATTCATTTCTCGGGCTTGGGACCTCGGAATTTGATTCCGGGTATACGCCCAAGTCCCATATTTTCCTACGGACCCTCCGGGACCGTCAAATCACGGGTCCGGGTTCATCACCCCCACGGACCCTCCGGGACCGTCAAATCACGAATCCGGGTCCGTTTTTCCAAAAAATTGACGGAAGTCAAACTTGGTCTTTTAAGAGAATCCTGAAGAAACAATTGAATATATTTCACTCAAAACTCTTCTAACTCCCGAACCAACCGTCCCCGCAAGTCGTAAATTGGCTAAAGCAAGCGCAGGAAGTTTTATTTAGGAGAACGGGGTTCTAAAAAGTAAAACGACCAGTCGGGTCGTTACAACAACATAAATTGAAATAATATAAAGTGCACTGGAAAAAAAATTAAAGCTAACTTGGAGAATTTTGGTTAGAAACAAGCAAACGCAAATTTCGTTATTTACTTAAAAACCAAAGATATTAATTTGATATCCTTACTTGTCTGTTGTGAAATTTTATTTCATAGAAGGATAAAAAGGTAAAATTAATCTCTAACAGAAAGGAACCTCTACATTATCTATTATATAGAAGAGAAAAGAGGAGTTGGACCAAGGGCATAATGGTCATTTAAAATATATTAGTGCATTGTTTGTTAGTATACTAGGCTCAAAAGATTGGTTGCGGATTCTTAATAACAGGAAAAACCAAAACTAAACCAAAACTAACGTGCCCATAAGCTATTAAATTCTTTAGGTGGACTCCACTTTCCCTTCAACCTTCACTATCTTCATTAAATGCATTACTTGATTGTTATTATTATTTTTTCAATAAGTACTTTTAACTAGAAAAATTATTTTTTTGATAATTTTATAATTCAAATGTTCACCTGATTAAAAATACTAAAGTCACATACATTTATATATGACAATTCTATTATCTCCTTGAGAAATATTATTTTATTATTAATTATTCCAGGTAAAGAAGATTTTATTAAAAAAGAATTAGTGATAATGTATGTAGATTTACATTCAAATGTTATTATATCATTATCAATTGATATCATTTTATACAAAGTTCTCATTATATTGCAATTTCAATTGGAATACTTCATAAAATTCGGAAAAAAATTATTTAAGAATAAAATATAGTTTCAAGTCCCCTTTTTTATTATAGAATGTAAAAAATTTGTTCAAACTGTATAATAAGTATCCCCTCTCTAAAATATTAGTTGAGAATATCTGAAGAAAAAATTAAGACAATTAATTTGTGAAATTTTTTTCTTTTAAAAATCGTTATATATTAGGAAGTATGAGAAGTATCGTCATACAGGATTATACTTCTCCCTCTATAATCGAAGATAGTTGAGTACATACTCTATTCAGTAAGAATTCAACATTATATAAATTTCAAAATACATAAATATACAATTAATTATTTTTAAAATAGTCTCAACAAATACAACTATTGTGATGAAAATTCCATTATACCCTAAATAGTATCTCAATCATATCAAATGAAACTACAAAAATTGCAATATTTCAATTTACGGTCAATTTGATTAGTATTTAGAGTGATCGAGATATTAATTTATTTATAATATTATGTGATTCAACTAGAACAAAATACAAATTTTCTTGTTAAAATTCTTAATAATTAAAAACCACGATTATTATTTCAAAGAACCAAAAAATACCTTTTCATCAACTATTTGGGAATAATATTAATATTTTTGATTATTTAAATTTTGATTAGTACAAAAAAGAAAAAAAATACATTAACACACTTAAAATACTAAAAAATAAAACTATATAATGAGAAAAATGCATGACGACTTATTTTTCAACTGACTTTTTAATTACTATTTAATAATAATTAATTTAAGGCTTAGTGATGCAAAAAAAATTTAAAATAAAAAATGCTCTATGTAGAAATAATTTAAATTCTACTTGAATTATTATGTAGGTTGAAAATAAGAAAGAAAAAAAAGTAACAATTGGGCCCACGGCTACGTCATCTAGTCTATATAATAAAAATCTTACTCAAATTCCTAAATGTCCGCGGTCCCTAATCACTCAACAATGAGTCCTAATCGCAACCAGTTTCTCAGTCAACGTCACTGCCAAACCTTCGCGGACCCTATTCCTAATCCCTCAACCACGACACATAATCACCATCCCTCTCTCAGTCACCGTCTCCGCCATGCCATTGCGAATTTCTTCAGCGGTCCTCACAGCCCAAGACTGCCAACCCACAGTCGACCAGCAACAACAGCAACAATGAAAATTCCCCAGGGGGTTCGTCATCAGGCAAGGCATCAAGATTTTCTTGGATCCAATTCCCCCAATGCCCCCGCCGGTACGTGTAACGACCCGGCCGGTCGTTTTTGGAATTTACGCCCCGATCCCCCATTAACTGCTTCCCCTAAGTTCATTTCTGCTATTTTGGTTTGCCGGGACGTTCGGTGTTAGGATTCGGAGTGTTTTGGGACACTTAGTCCCTAAATGAGAGCTTAAGTGTTAAAAAATGATCCGTAGTCGGAACAGTGTGAAGACGACCTCGGAATGGAAATCCGATGGTTCCGTTAGCTCCGTTAGGTAATTCCAGGGTTGGGAGCGTGTTCGGAATGTATTTTGGAAGTCCGTAGCTCATTTAGGCTTGAAATGACGAAGTTTGTATTTTTGAAGTTCCGGTCTGATAGTGAGTTTTTGATCCGAGGGTCGGAATGGAATTCCGAAAGTTGCAGTAGCTCCGTCATGTCATTTGGGATGTGTGTGCAAAATTTCAGGTCATTCGGACGAGGTTCGGGTAGGTTTTTGATCGAAAGCGTGTTTTGTTGGAATTTGAAGTTCTTAGGCTTGAATCTTTGATTAATTCGGGTTTCCGGCATTGTTTTAGGTGTTTTTAAGATTGGTACAAGTTTGAATAAGGTATTAGGTGGTATTGGTGTTTTTGGTTGAGGTCCCGGGGGCCTCGGGATGATTTCGGGTGGTTAATGGAGGAAATCTCTAAGTGTTGCAGCAGTTGGTATTTTTCTTTCTGGTATTTTCGCTTCTGCGGCCTAGGAACCGCAGAAGTAGAGACGCAGAAGCGGCCTTGGGCGTCGCAAAAGCGACTTTTGGTCACCCTCCAGGAAACCACAGAAGCGGTAGGATTTCCGCAGAAGCGGATCCGCTTCTACGATATAGGAACCGCAGGAGCAGAAGCTGGGATTTTTAAAGGGAGCCGCAAAAGCGGCCAGTGCTTCGCATAGGCGGGACCGCAGAAGCGTTCCCTAGACCGCAGAAGTGGTATTCGCTGTTCAGAAATAGCAATTTCGAGGGTTTAATTTCATAAGTTTGAAAAATTGATTGAGAGCTCGGGAGAAGGCGATTTTGAGTGAGTTTTGAAGAGGAAATCATTGGGTAACGTTTCTTTGATCCCTTTTTGTTATACTTTATCATTATATAGTAAAATACATCATGGGAATTCGAATTTTGGACCAAAAATTTGATAATTTGGGGTAAAACTTCATTAGCTAGACTATTGAGTTTTGAGTGTGCATTTGACCTCCAATTTGGAGATTTTTATATGGTTAGACTCGTGAGAGTACGAGGGTTCTAAAAATGTGAAAATTATTCGATTCCAAGACGTTGGCTGGAGGGGCATTTTGGTCATTTTTTCTATTTTCGCGCCGTAGCTTTGAATTTAATAGCAAAACCAGGTGTTTGCGATGTTATTTACAATGTGTAATTGAATTGAATGGATTTGAGCCATTTGGATTCGGATACTCGTGGCAGGAGCATGGTTTCTAGTTGATATTGAGCCTGTTCGAGGTAAGTGGCTTGTCTAACCTTGTGTGGGGGACCTTTCCCCTTAGGACATGATCTTTGAATATTTGAATGCCTCGTACGTGAGGTGACGAGTGCGTACTTGAGCTAATTGTTGTAAACCCATTTCTACTTGAAGTATTTAAATTGAGTTTCCTGTTTTACCTGTTCATTCTAGACTGCAAGTTTAAACCTATGCTAGCTTAGAGAAGCATGCTTAGCTGACTTGCTTGCTTACTTGTTTAACTGTACTATTTATTCTCTGTGAAGCTCGTTATCCTAGAAATTTCTACTACTTTTACTGATTGTTGCACTTATTCTAAGATTTTGAGTTGTTGCTGTTGTGTGTTTAATTTGGGACTACGGGACGGCTGCCCGGGAGATCCCCCTGTACTTGATATATTCCGGATTGAGGGTGCGGTATACCAAGAGATCCCATGCACATGTATTTCTATATATATATTGGGATACCAAGAGATCCCCAACTTGCTTAATAAGGATACCAGGAGATCCTCGGGATACCAAGAGATCCCCAGTGTTTAAGATGAGGATACCAAGAGATCCTCGGGATACCAAGAGATCCCCGGCTATTATTCTTTGTGGAGAGCGGTATTTCTTGTATTGTGACCTTTGCTTTCTACTACTGTTCTTCCCTATTTATCTGGTTTAGATTCTCGCTGTAGACTTTATTTAAACTGTTTCCGTTATCTTATTATTTAATATGTTTTATCTCAGTAGGGCCCTGACCTTCCTCGTCACTACCCGACCGAGGTTAGGCTTGGCACTTACTCAGTACAGCTGTGGTGTACTCATGCCCTTCCTGCGCATGTTTTTCATGTGCAGATCCAGGTACCTCTTCTCAGGCGCACTATCCTTGAGGCGGGGAGACACACGGAGACTTCGAGGTATATCTGCAGCGTCCCCAGACCGAAGAGTCTTCTTCCTTATTCTAGTTGTAAAGCTGTTATCCTATCATACTTTTGATGTAGATATTCTGGAGATTAGAGTGCTTATGGTAATTCTATTAGCCTGTGTTTCCCGTGAGTTTCCGGGTTTTGGGATTGAGTTGTTGACTTCCGCATATCTTTAGAGTTGTATAGGCCGGGCGGCCTTATATTCAGTTGTTATTTTTCATATGTTCAGTTTTAATTGATTATTCTTCAAGTTAAATTGCTATTTCCGCACTGTTAGGCTTACCTAGTCGTAGGAACTAGGTGCCATCACTACATGTTCATGGAGGGTGAACGGGGGTCGTGACAAGTTGGTATCAGAGCTCTAGGTTCATAGGAGTCACGGAACACAGGCCAGTTTATTAGAGTCTCGCTGATCGGTACGGAGACATATGTACTTATCTACGAGGGGCTATGTAACTGTTTAGGAAAAATCTCCGTTTCATTTGAATTCCTTGTCGTGCGATATTTTAACATCAATTCTAAACTTCTGACTTCTATTCTCTCACAGATGGTGAGGACATGTGCCACTCGAGATGATCAGGCACCCGCGCCCCCTACTGCAGCCGTCAGAGGTCGGGGCCGGGGGAGAGGTCGAGGACGCGCACGTGGTGCACCCACAACACCTGCGCGAGCTACCGCCGAGGTACCACCAGCAGATCCAGCTGGAGCCCAGGCACCTGGCACACCTACTACTGCCACTACTACTCCAGCGCTCCAGGAGACTTTGGCTCAGTCCATGAGCATGTACACCACCTTGGCTCAGGCGGGGTTGCTTCCCCTTGCTGCAGCCACATCCTAGGCCGGGGGAGGAGCACAGACTCCCGCCGTCCGCACTCCTGAGCAGCGTGTGCAAGTTGAGCAGGCTCCCGAGATTATTCCGGCACCGCCTGCAGCACCAGTTCAGCCCGAGGATGGGTCAGCTGCTTCAGAGGACGAGCAGCGGAGACTTGAGAGGTTCAAGAAGTATGATCCCCCAGTGTTCAGTGGATTAGCATCAGACGATGCCTTGAGATTTCTAGAGGAGTGTCATCGTATTTTTCGCACTATGGGCATAGTGGAGTCCAGCGGGGTTTCTTTCACTGCTTTTCAGCTTCGGGGAGCCACCTATGATTGGTGGCGGACTTATGAGATAGACAGTCCAGTCGAGGCTGCTATACTGACTTGGACCCAGTTCTCGGATATGTTTATGAGAGAGTTTGTCCCCCAGAGTCTCAGGGATGCATGGCGCGCGGAGTTCGAGCATTTGCGCCAGGGTGCTATGACCGTTTCAGAGTATGCCATCTGTTATACCAGGTTGGCCAGGCATGCACCGGCTTTGGTTGCTACAGTTCGGGAGAGAGTTCGCAGGTTCATTAAGGGTCTTATTCCACCCATCAGATCTAGCATGGCTCGAGAGTTGGAGATGGACATTCCTTATCAGCAGGTAGTGAGCATTGCTAGGAGGATTGAGGGTATGCTCGCCAGGGAGCGAGGAGAGAGGGAGGCCAAGAGGTCTCGAGAGTCGGGTCACTACTTTGGTGCCCGTACCCCATCAGCAGGTCGTTATGGCAGAGGTTATTCGGGTCGCCCTGTACATTCAGCTCTTCCAGCAGCCGGCAGTACTCCAGCTCCACCTACACCTCAGGAGCCTTATTATGCACCTCCAGTTTCTAGCGCGCCTCCTGCGCGGGGTGCTTCCAGAGGTCAGTCCAGCAGACCTGGCCCTAGTCAGTCACAGGCACCGCATCCTCCCAGAGCTTGTTACGAGTGTGGTGATACACGTCACTTGGTGAGGGATTGCCCCAGACTTGGGAGGAGCGCGCCCCCACAGACTTCTCAGCCACAGCGTGCTCCTCAGAGTTCTCAAGCCATGGTCACAGCTCCAGCTGCTACCCCACCTGCCCAGCCGGCTAGGGGCGGAGGTCGGGGAGATAGAGGTCGGCCTCGAGAGAGGGGTCGGGCCAAATATTATGCGATTCCTGCTCGTACTGAGATTGTTGCCTCCGACTCCGTCATTACAGGTATTATTCTTGTTTGTCACAGAGAGGCATCGGTTCTATTCGATCCGGGCTCTACTTACTCTTATGTGTCTTCTTACTTTGCTCCTCATTTGAGTGTGCCTCGGGATTCTTTGAGTGCCCCCGTTTATGTTTCTACTCCTGTGGGAGATTCTCTTATTGTGGACCGCGTTTATCGGTCATGTTTGGTTACTATTCGTGGTTTTGAGACCAGAGCAGATTTATTATTACTCGGTATGGTGGATTTTGACATTATTTTGGGCATGGACTGTTTGTCGCCCCATTTTTCTATTCTTGATTGTCACGCCAAGATCGTGACGCTGGCTATGTCAGGTATTCCGCGTATTGAGTGGAGTGGTACTTTAGATCACACTCCTAGTAGAGTTATCTCTTTTCTTAAAGCTCAGCGTATGGTTGAGAAGAGGTGTGCCGCGTATTTAGCTTATGTGAGAGATGTCAGTGTTGATACCCCTTCTGTTGACTCAGTTCCAGTGGTACGGGATTATCCCGATGTGTTTCCAGCTGATCTTCCGGGCATGTTGCCCGATAGAGATATCGATTTTGGCATTGATCTGTTGCCGGGCACTCAGCCCATTTCCATTCCTCCGTATCGTATGGCTCCTCCTGAGTTGAATGAGTTGAAGGATCAGTTACAGGAATTGCTTGGTAAGGGTTTTATTCGACCCAGTATTTCACCGTGGGGTGCTCTTGTTTTGTTTGTGAAGAAAAAGGATGGTTCTATGCGCATGTGTATTGACTACCGCCAGTTGAACAAGGTTACAGTGAAGAACCATTATCCTTTGCCTCGCATTGATGATCTGTTTGACCAGCTTCAGGGCGCACAGGTGTTTTCTAAGATTGACTTGCACTCAGGTACCATCAGTTGAAGATTCAGGAGCCAGATATCCCGAAGACTGCCTTCAGGACACGATATGGCCATTACGAGTTCCTTGTCATGTTATTTGGGCTGACCAATGCCCCTGCAGCTTTCATGCATTTGATGCACAGTGTGTTTAGGCCATATCTTGACTCGTTCGTGATTGTTTTTATTGATGATATTCTGGTGTATTCCTGGAGTCGGGAAGATCATGAGCAGCACCTGAGGACCGTGCTACAGACCTTGAGGGAGAAAAAGTTATATGCAAAGTTCTCAGAATGTGAGTTTTGGCTGAGTTCGGTGGCATTCTTAGGCCATGTAATTTCTAGTGAGGGTATTCGGGTGGATCCGAGGAAGGTAGAGGTCGTGCAGAGTTGGCCCAGGCCGTCATCAGCTACAGAGATTCACAGTTTCCTTGGCTTGGCGGGTTACTACCGTCGTTTCGTGGAGGGATTTTCATAGATTGCTGCCCCTATGACTAGATTGACCCAGAATGGTGCCCCATTTCAGTGGACAGAGGAGTGTGAGGCGAGCTTTCATAAGCTCAAGACAGCTTTGACTACAGCCCCAATCTTGATGTTGCCTACCGGTTCAGGGTCTTATAGTGTCTATTATGACGCCTCGAGAGTTGGCCTTGGAGCAGTGTTGATGCAGGATGGTAGGGTACTTACGCGTCCAGACAGTTGAAGATACATGAAAAGAATTACCCTGTCCACGACCTTGAGTTAGCTGCCATTGTTCATGCCTTGAAGATCTGGCGTCATTATTTATATGGAGTGCCTTGCGAGATCTATACTGATCATCGGAGTTTGTAGCACTTGCTCAAGCAAAAGGATCTCAATATGCGTCAGAGGAGGTGGTTAGAGCTGCTGAAGGATTATGACATTACTATTCTGTATCACCCTGGCAAGGCCAATGTAGTGGCAGATGCCTTGAGTCGCCGGGCAGAGAGTTTGGGGAGTTTGGCATATTTACCAGCTTCATAGAGGCCTATGGCGATGGATGTTCAGGCTTTAGCCAGCCAGTTCGTGAGATTGGATCTTTCGGAGCCCAGTTGGGTTCTAGCTTGTGTGGTTTCCTGGTCCTCCTTATTTGATCGTATCAGGGAGCGGCAGTATGATGACCCTCATTTGCTTGTCCTTCAGGACAAGGTTCAGCGTGGAGATGCCAGAGATGTGACCATCGGGGATGATGGAGTATTGAGGATGCAGGGCCAGATTTGTGTGCCCAATGTTGATGGCCTTCGAGAGTTGATTCTAGCAGAGGCCCATAAATCGCGGTATTCCATCCATCCGGGGGCCACGAAGATGTATCAGGACTTGAGACAGCACTACTGGTGGAGGCGGATGAAGAAAGATATAGTTGGTTATGTGTCTAGATGCTTCAACTGCCAGCAGGTGAAGTGTGAGCACCAGCGCCCGGGTGGGTTGCTTCAGCAGATAGAGATTCCGGAGTGGAAGTGGGAGCGCATCACCATGGATTTCGTGTCGGGACTCCCACGGACCTTGAAGAAGTTTGATGCCATCTGGGTCATTGTGGATCGGCTGACCAAGTCCGCTCATTTCATCCCTATGTGTACCACTTATTCATCGGAGCGGTTGGCGGAGATTTATATCCGGGAGATTGTCCGTCTGCATGGTATTCCAGTTTCTATTATTTCGGACAGAGGTACCCAGTTCACATCGCGGTTCTGGAGAGCCGTGCAGCAGGAGTTAGGCACTTGGGTGGAGTTGAGCACAGCATTTCACCCCCAGACGGACGGACAGTCCGAGCGCACTATTCAGATTCTTGAGGATATGCTCCGTGCGTGTGTGATTGAGTTTGGAGGGTCTTGGGATCATTTCTTGCCACTGGCGGAGTTTGCTTACAACAATAGTTATCAGTCCAGCATTCAGATGGCGCCGTATGAGGCTTTATATGGTAGGAGGTGTAGATCTCCGGTGGGTTGGTTTGAGCCGGGTGAGGCCAGGCTATTGGGCACAGAGTTAGTTCAGGATGCATTGGAGAAGGTTAAGACTATTCAGGATAGACTCCGTACAACCCAGTCCAGA